ACAGACAGCTTTATCAAACTCTGTGTCTTTGGATAATGATTTCATACTGTGCTGGAGTATGTAGAAACTGGTTCCACTAGGCTTAGCAAGGTGTACTCCAGAAAATATGCCCTATTTATGTTGCCAGAGCTAAGGAAACTCTGGGTGTAGGAGAAGGAGTGGCAGAATCTGGAGGTGGAGTTAAAAGAGGAATCAGCCTAGAATTCCTACATAGCCACAAGCAAGCTAAGTCCAACTCCCTTGAATTCCTGTTGACCCTTATCTATCACCAAGCCTTTGCCAACCATTATTAGAAGATGGTTGTGCTTAGAGATGAGTAGCAATAAATCAGTTTAATGTGTGGACCTGGCCTTTCCTGCTTGACATTACACAAGATGCTCTTTGCATTCTTGCACATTCTTAGCTGCTCCATTCGTTAGTTTCTGACTATGTAGTTTTCCTCCCCATGTTACTTCCCTCTTCTTAATTGTTAAGTTATACAGCATAGTTTCCATCTAAGCCATGGAAGAGAATGAAAAGACAGATACTATTGTGCCACCTCAATGTCTGTGAATTTCTAAGCATTCTTTCTTTTGATCTACCTCTGTAAATTTAATAAACAAAATTCTCAGTACTCCAGCTCAGGAAAGCTAGGAATATTTCCACTAGGAAGATATATAATTTTTGGGCAGCAGCTTGACCAAACATCAGTAACACGGCAGAAGGAAACTGAAATTGAAAAAGGCATGATTGAATTGACCTTAAATACAATTGTGTTGAGTGTCTGAACAGGGACACCGAACAGTGTAGAAAAATAATGAAGGGGTGCAACACATCTGACAACCTAGAGAGGAAACCACTGTTGTATAAAAGAGAGAGTTCTAAATGTCAGATCTACTCTAAGTGTTGCTGAAAGACTATTTAAAGAAGAGGTGAGCAACTTGCACTTCCCTTCTAAAGCCTGGATTGGACCCGACAGCCTGCCAAAAGTTTTTTTTTTTAAGGGCCAAGTGGGGAAACTCATTCAAGATATGGGAGCACCTGTACTTCATTAGGCTGCAATTCAAATCAGACCAAGACCAGCTTTGAAGAGAGTTATCGATCTCTGTGTTAAGATGAGACTCTGGAAAGAGTGCAGAGAAGAGCAACCAGGATGATGAGGGGACTGGAGGCTAAAACATACGATGAATGGTTGCAGGAAATGGGCATGGCTAGTCTAGTGAAAAGAAAGACCAAGGGAGACATGATAGCAGTCTTCCAATATTTGAGGGGCTGCCACAGAGAGGAGGAAGGGGTCAAGCTATTTTCCAAGGCACCCGAAGGCCAGACAAGGAATAATGGATGGAAACTGATCAAGGAGAGATTCAACCTGGAAATAAGGAGAAATTTTCTGACAGTGAGAACAATCAACCCATGGAACAGAAGCTGCCTTTGGAAGTTGTGGGAGCTTCATAACTGGAAGATTTCAAGAAGAGACTGGACTACCATTTGTCAGAAATGGTGTAGGATCTCCTTCTTGGATGGATTGGACTAGATGACCTACAAGATCCCTTCCAACTCTGCTAATCTGTAAAAGATAGTTTTTCAATAGAGGCAGCTATGATTCACATAAGTGGCTAAAAGCAGGTTCCTGTGCCTGCATATTAGAGGAGACCAGAAAAGATACATGTCAACACATTTTTATTTATTTACTAAATTTATAGACCGTCCATCTCCTCTCACTCATGGAGCTTTTTTTCAGCCAATAATGAACTTTCTGGTTTTTAGAACGTTCATACTACTCACATAACATCAATATTTTCACCACAAGAACCAAAGAAGATAGGGAGAGGAAATGGTGCTGGTCAAAGGTTCAGTTAAAAGAATAATTGTTATTTATTTATTTATTTATTTAAAACAGGCTGCCCAACTCCAAACAATTCTGGGAAGCTTTCTGTATAGAAAATTATAAGAATGACTGAAAAAGAAATGGATCATAAATATCCCGAAGGCAAGCTCCCTTTTACCAACAACTAACCAAATTGTGTGTATTTATTTATTTAATTTACAACTCATAGCTAACACAGCCATCCATTTTATAGAATGTGACTTTGGGCTGCATACAATAATATCCATACACTCATACCTACAACTGGATTTGTGTTTTGTATTAAGTCATTTCTTGGTTTTGATTTAGCATGAACTCCACCGCTGTGATTCGTAAAGCATGATTTAGTGTGCTGTGTAAATGCAAACCATTGTGACTTCTTTAGCAAACTGTTTGTTAGCCTGTTGTGTAAACCCCTGCTTATTTAGGATGGAGTCAGTACAGTGGTGAGATTCAAAAAAAATTACTACCAGTTCTGTGGGCATAGCTTGGTGGGCGTGGCTTGGTAGACATGGCAGGGGAAGAATACTGTAAAATCTCAATTCCAACCCCACTCCTGAGGGAAGGTTACTGCAAAATCCCATTCCCTCCCCACCCCACTAACCTGCTTTCCAGCTCTGTTCTCCTGTGCAGGACAACCAAAGAAGACCCAGCCAATTAGATGGGACTTAGGAGGCAGAGAATAGATGGGGGTGGGGCCAGTCAGAATTACTCAACGAACTACTCAAAATTTCCACTACCGGTTCTCCAGAACTGGTCAGAACCTGCTGAATGCCACCTCTGTGTATCTTTGCTAGCATCACCCAAAATGGCACTGAAGAAGAAAGTTCAAGGTTTTGTTCCTTCAAAATTGAAGGTGAAGAAGATGAAAAAAAAAAAAAGTAAGTCTAAAAATCGAATTGTATCTCCTGCCAGACTTTCTCTTGCTTGGAGCTTAATCTAACTTTTTCCAGGAAAAAAGGGAACTATTAAAAAAAGCACTGAGTGATTTAATAGGGAGATTAGTCTCTCTCCACCCATGTTCCAATGATTCCCCCTGTTCCATCCACCCACAACAACAGGGCTGCCTCTCCTTATATTAATAGCCACCAACTGGCTCCAAATTTGTTTGGTTTTTTTTTTTTACCCCACACCGGTTAACTCAGTGAAATTGTGCAGTTTGTTCCTGCATCAACACGCCTTGGAAGGAGGCCAGTAATTTTCATACCTGCCTCCTTTTTTTTTATCACTTCTTGGTAAACACAGCCAGGAACAAAAAGTCAAGGTCAGGAGAAGCAGCAGGCAAGACGCGGAGGCAGGAGCCTGATGGAGGTCAGGTTGTGGTCACTGCATCTTTTGGCAGGTGGGAGGGAAAGGCTGCCCCTCCCTTGGCAAACAATGCCAAAACCCTGTCTAGGTAACTAAGATGTAAGCTCTAAACTGGCATACAAACATCCCGTTGATTTTCCTATTCAGCGGCTGCCATTCCAGCAGGATCCAACTCCTTAGTTGAGGCACAAGCTTGGAAGACATCCTGTGAACCTACTAGGAATGTGCAGCATGGCGGTATTATCGCACGCATTGTGACAGCTCTCGTGAACCCATTGCAGCTGAGCTAAAATAAGTGAGCTGTTAGCTGTGAGACAAGTTAGGAGAAGGGGACATGTTAGAATTTGGACTTTTTATGAGAGATGGGGACCGTCTCCTCAACGGCCAGAATAGGTTCTGCTATTGATGTTTGTTTGATTGAGTGATTCAACTTGTATAGCCACTCATCCAGTGGTGGGATTCAATTTTTTTTTTTACTACCGATTCTGTGGGTGTAGCTTGGTGGGCATGGCATGACTTGGTGGATGTGGCTTGGTGGGCGTGGCAAGGGAAGGATATTGCAAAATCACCATTCCCTCCCCGCTCCACTAACCTGCTTTCCAGCTCCGTTCTCCTGTGCAGGGCAACCAAAGAAGACCCAGCCAATCAGCTGAGGCTTGGGAGGCAGAGAATAGATGGGGTTGGTGGGGCCAGTCAGAAGTGGCATTTGCTGGTTCTCCAAACTACTCAAAATTTCTGCTACTGGTTCTCCAGAACTGGTCAGAACCTACTGATGCCACCTCTGCACTCATCTTAAATCCATGACTGTGGGTGGAGAACAATCATCAAAACAATTAAAACAGGACACACAAAGAAACAGCAGTCAAGATTACAAGTATTGTAATCTGTCAGTTTCATTGTATCTAGAAAGCTGGGCTTTTCATACAATTGGGCTCCCAGATCTGGTCACATAGCCAGGTCTTTAAGACCTTCTGAAAGACCAGCAGAATCTGGGTCATCCTTATCTCAGGAGGGAGGGACAAGCATTATGGCCTGGTCCTTGCCAGCTGACATTCCTTGATTGATAGGAACCAGATGCCCATCGGGCTGGACCAGATTAGACCGGTAGAAAGGACTGGAAGAAGATGGTCCTTCAGATAACCTGGTCCCCAGGCATGAAGGCATCTTGCAAGGTGGGCCTTGTTTGGAGAAAAGCAGGTCTCCAAGGAACTTCAGAGAACCTCTTCACTTGGATATCTGATGACACAAGGAACCCTTTTTGAAGAGAAGCATAGCCATCTTGAACCACGGTGGTGCAGTGGTTAGAATGCAGTACTGCAGAGCTCACTGCTCATTCCAGGAGTTCGATCCTGAGTGGTTCCAGGTTGACTCAGTTTTCCATCCTTCCAAAGTCGGTAAAATGAGGACTCAGATTGTTGGGGGGCAATATGCTGACTTTGTAAACCACTTAGAGAGGGCTGTAAAGCACTGTGAAGCAGTGTATAAGTCTAAGTGCTATCGCTATTGCTATCCTGTCTTTCAGGCTTCTAATGAAGACATAACTTTACCAAGGCCTTTCTTGTGTGAATGTTTTTTTTTCCTTTCTGCCTACCAGTTTGAATACTAACTCTTTCTAATTTATCGCAGTGTTATTCTTGGATTTTAATAATAACTTTTTGCCTTTACTTCACCAGTTTGATTTCAGGGAAGGAGAGTAAAATACATGCTAAATAAATAAACAGTGAAACAGCTCTAACCTGAATGTGGTTTCCTCATTTCTAATTTGTTCCTGGGGACAACATTTCATTTATGGGTTTTATTTCTAGGATACTTATTTGTTTTTCTCCCTGTTCCTCTGTCATCTTAGGTAGTGGACCTATTCAGTTATGGCAATTCTTGCTGGAACTTCTGACAGACAAATCCTGCCAGTCATTCATTAGCTGGACAGGTGATGGCTGGGAATTTAAACTTTCTGATCCTGATGAGGTAAGGATGGGTTTAATTTGGATTGTACACATGAAAGCCCTAAGTCAAATTCACATATAGCAATCGTTTTGCCAGTAGTTATAAATACATTTATAACATTTACATCATACAGTGGTACCTCGGTACTCAGCGTAATTGGTTCTGGTGGGTAATAAAAAGGAAGAGTATCAAACAAACCATGTGATTTACCACATGATCCTTTGTTTCAGCCAGGAAAAACTTTTTCCTGTTCTTTTTCCTACATCAGTGGCCTTTCCAGCATGGCTGACTTCCTATCCGCCCTCTGTGGCTATCCTCCTCCTTTTGTAGCGACCTTCCCAGCATGTCTAGTTTCCTGTCTGTTTCCCACACCTTTCCTCCTCTTCCTATAGCAACATGTTGAGTATTAAACAAAGTCCAAGTACTGGGACAACATTTTCATGTCCAAATGTATTGGATACCAAATTTGAGAGATTTGAAACAATCAAGTACTGAGATACCACTGTAATTTCTTTCTTCCATAATCTATCATTTCTAATCATCAAACCCATAAATCACAAATGCATTTTGCCCCCTTTTTCAGCAAAAAGCCCATACAGGGTTTCCAGTATTTAATAAATGCAGTATTTTAATAAATGCAATAAATGCAACTTTCTCTATGCAAACAAGTTAATTTTGCCACCTCTACTGGTTCCATCTTCACCAATCCTTCCTCCATTATGGGTATATCAGAGTTTTACCATTTTTATGCTAATAGTCTCATCACAGGGATCATATATAAAAATAATCACCCGTGGCTCTTTTCTAGTTATCCATTAATCCCAATAAGCAAATTCCTGCTTTGAACTAACTCTTAGCCTTTGAAATTTATTATATCAGTGTATGTATTTGAACCCAAAATGTCCTGCCGTGTGTACAAGTCTGCCAAGCCTATTAAAATGGCACTTTGTGTCACCCACATTTCCAAAATAAACTTGAAATACTGTTACATTCTGGATAATTTTTTCTGTTCTTCTTAATTTTTATTAAGGAATTTCCATAGGAGATGACCAGGCTGAGCCCGAGGGAGGGGTGAAATGCAACATCAATCATGAATCCCTTCATGCCCAAAAGAAAAATTTAACTCCAATCTACTTTGAATTCATTTTTATTCTTAACTTCTGCTCATTTCCATTGATCGCTAGTAGTTCAGATTCCTATAGAGAGCTTAAACATGCAATAATTTTAATACTCCTGATTTCCATAGCACTTGACAATTTCATGAACTAAATTTTATGGGTTCCCATTCTCCAGGTGGCAAGGAGATGGGGCAAGAGGAAAAACAAGCCAAAAATGAACTATGAGAAGCTGAGCCGCGGATTGCGTTACTACTATGACAAGAACATCATCCACAAGACTGCAGGAAAACGCTACGTGTATCGTTTCGTATGCGATCTGCAAAGTTTGTTGGGTTACACTCCAGAAGAGCTCCATGCCATGTTGGATGTGAAGCCAGATGCTGATGAGTGAATGGATCCATTTTTACCAAAATCGAACAATCTGCAGAACATAAGGACTTTTATTTCTTTCTTAACCCCCCAACCATTATTTTCCTTAAGAAAAAGAAAAAAGAAAAGAAAGAAAAAAAGCGTAATTTTTCATTGGCTGTACTTAAGAAGGGCTAGGATTTTTTTAAGCTTTTGAATGAAACTGTGACATAGGTTGGCTGGGAGGAGGAAGAACCAAGTTTCCAAGTCACATCTTCTTGGAGTTGTATTTGCAGCTGGGATTTTAGAAGTCAGGAAATGTGACGTTTTGTTACATCTACTTAATGAATTCATATTATGCCCCTTTCTTCCCGGTTTTAAAAACTGACGATCGGTGTGTTTGTAAGACAATGCTGTCTTTAACTGATGGAGAGCAGTCTTAAGTGGCAAACCGTCCTGTTTTAGAAGGAAAATATATCTGAATAATCAAGTACTGTGATCTCAGATAATTTTTTGCATTTCATAAGACAGGTCTCTGTTCTTCTGTTTGTCAGGGTGGGTGGGGGGGGGGGGAAACAAAAAACCCCACCTTTTTTTTTTTTTGTGTTTAAAGAAAATGTTTAAAAGAATTTGTATTTTATTAAATTTTGTGCCAGTATTTTTTAAAATAGTCTTAAGCTCTAAAATGGTTTCAGTATTGCAAAAAAAAAAAAAAAAGATCATGTGTTTGTTTGTTTTGCCAGCTGCGGATTTTTATCGCCATTGAGAGAAAACGAAATACGTCTACATAGAACTTCACTAGAAATGAGCAGATGGAATAGACCAGTGGGAAACCAAGATACAAGTGTAGGCTAAGAATGGGGAACTCTAGATTAATGGATGTTTTGCTTGAATGCTAGACTTCCTGCACTTTATTCTCTTATGTCAATACATCTGTGCCTCTGCTTGTGCATTTTCAATTGTGTCAGTTTCATACTGAGATTTTATTTAGATTTTTGTCTGCATGTTATGAGTACATGCTTATCTAGGATACTTTAGAGAACAGTCTTATCTCACTGATCAGATAGCATCTTTTCAGACTAACAGATTTTATTCGAAGGTTTATGCTTTTCGTTGTGTCCATCTATTCTAGAAGGATGCTACCCACTCTGTCTGATTTTTGCCTACCATAAACTAACATTGCTCTCTTTCTTCAACTATTCCATTGTTTGAAAAGTAGGGTGGTTGATTCTCTTGTGGGGACAATTCAAGTGTCCATCTGTTACGGCTTGTTTCTGCTTCTTTTCACAGGTTATCAGTTGCTATGAATGTTTCATTAGTGCCTTGCAATAGGACCAAATCACTGAATTGGTTTTCGGATTGAGCTGGAAAACCCCATTCAGCTTGATGTTCTGAATCAAGCTGAATCACTGAATTGGATCAGATTTAGCATTAGAATCAGATTGGAGTCAATCATATTCTGTAACAATCTGCAACGGAGTATTTTATAAGAAAAGATTCAGTAATCTCTGGGTAGTCAGAAGCTCTTTTGAGATAATACAAGCACATCAAAATATATGGGCTTCTCATCAATATGTCTACACTCTTAAGGATGAGCATTAAGAGTAGGCATGGAAGAAGTTAGGGGGTCTTATCTAATTTGGCAGATACTTTTGTTTTCATCGAATGGATTTAAAATAAATCGGGGCCACCGAGCAAGTTATAATATAGATGCTAATTTTCTTCATGCTATGTTGTCCAAAAATAAACACGCTTGGTGTTTTGACTCTACAGTTCCATCATCCTGATTTGGATACAAGGAAAGAATGCCAAAGCTGATTGTTATCCCCTCAAATACCTGAGTCCTAAATATCTACTATCTCAAAAAAGAAAAACAACCCATATTTTAAAACACATCTTTAAAATATTTGAAAAGACACGATTAATAGATGACCTTTTCCTGCTAGCTTTTGCTGTTTGTTTGTTTCAAAATATCTTTCAAGAGGAGGGCAGGTTGAAGTTCAATGGATTAATCTTTTTTTTCTTTCTTCACTGTGTATTAGAATATATTTTATGGTGGAAGGGGTGTAGAATATTAAGATATTCTATGAATTTGTATACCCTCTTTCTGCCCTGCCTTGAATCATCTGCTGATTAAAAAAATATAACTCTATTTGTAAAGCAATTGAACAGACTTTACGAAGACTGAAATCAAGGGGAAAGAACCTTATTTTTCCAGAGGTCTGGACCCTAAGTCTTCCCTTCCCTGAATACAGCCATGCCTACATTTGTAAATGTGCTTTGTGAGACCAATGGTTTGTCAGCCTCATGACTTTTAGGTTAGTATTTAATCATTTGTGTTGTACACCGATGAAATATAATGCATGAAATACTCTTCAAAGAACAAACATGGAGAGCCAGCATTTGCAAAGCGTAGAACAGTAATATGATCTTCACTCCCTCCCACCCACCCCCGCAAAAAAACCCCAAACTGTAATAGCAATGACTCATTTCAGTCATGCAAAGTTGAAAGTGGGACAACTTTGAGTTGCTAGAAATGTCAGAAGAATTTGACAAAGAGCAGGTCTGAGACCCTGCTATGTAACCTGTAGGGTAAGGGTGCAAAAAGTAGGAAGGAATAATGTTGTCACCCTAGTTAAGAAAAACAAACAAATTCACTATATTTTAGGAGGACCCATTCCTCTAATTTAATTGTCCTTGATAGACCAGATTTGATCTGTTTTTGAAAGGCATTGCTACCTGATACAATAAAAAGGTAGTCTGTTTTGAGTTTAATTCGCGTCTCAAGCGAGTTCATGAACAAATTCATGTCATTTATCTTGGCAACAATATGAAAGTGGTTTGCTTTTTTCCCCAGGATATATATGCTTGTGTGGGTGTTTTCAGCTTTTCAGACCAGCTTACAGCTCTGGCTGTTCCAGAAGTTCTCCCATCAAAGTACTGGATGGATCTGACTCTATTTAGCTTTTTCATAATCAGTCAAGAGCAGTTAGATCCCTTTCAGATAAAGCTTTGTAGCAGTGAAGCACAACCTGGGTGCCTAGTATCACAGTTTGTCCCCCAAAACTTGAGCTTTGCTGGCTGAGGAATTCTGGGAGTTGAAGTCCACAAGTCTTAAATTTGCCAATGTTGGAGACCGCTGCCTTAGAGCATTTCCAAAGTTGTGACTAAAAATTTTTTATGTTTAATATGACAGAAAGGGTTGAACAAAATGTGACAGAAAGGGTCAAACAAAAGAGCCATTGTCTGAAAGTATTTAATTTAATTTTAATTAAAATTCCACATGAAATCAATTTTAGTTTTTCTACTGATCCTATCTGATTCTTGATGCTGGTACTATCGTCTTCTTAGAATGGGCTCCTTGCACACAATTTAACAGAATAACAGAGTTGGAAGGGAACTTGGAGGTCTTCTAGTCCCTCCCCCTGCTTAAGCAGGAAACCGTATGCCATTTGAAACAAATGGTTGTCCAATCTCTTCTTCAAAACTTCTGATGTTGAAGCATCCACAACTTCTGGAGGCAAGTTGTTTCACTGATTAATTGTCCTCACTGTTAGGAAGTTTCTCCTTAGTTCCAGGGTTGCTTCTGTCCTTGATCAGTTTCCATCCATTGCTTCTTGTCCTGCTTTCAGGTGCTTTGGAGAATAGCTTAGAGAATAGATTTTTTATGGTAAGTATAGAACAGAATATAGAATAGAGTTGGAAAGAATCTTCTAGTCCAGCCCCCTGTTCAAACAGGAGACACTATACCATTTTACACAAGTGGCTGTCCAGCTTCATCTTAAAGGTCTCCAATGATGAAGCACCCACAACTTCTGAAGTAGTCCCACAGGTTAATTGTCCTTCACTGTTAGAAGTTTCTCCTTAATTCCAGGTTGCATCTCTCCTTGATTAGTTTCCATCCATTGCTTCTTGTTCTTCCTTCAGGTGTTTTGGAGAATAGACTCTCTTTTGGGGGGAAGCCCTTTCTAACTTGCCACAAACGACAAGTGTGTCCTTCAGTCTGAAACAGGTTGTGAATCTCTGAACTATAGAATGGGGAAGTGAAACCTGTAGTCAAGCTACACTTCCAACTTCATCCCAAGGAGCCACGTTCCTTAGTCATGCTGACAGTTGTAATTCAATCCATGTGGAGGGTCGCAGATTTTCTATCGCAGATAAATGCTTTCTGGTACAGGTAGTCCTTGACTTATAACCATTCATTTAGCAACCGTTTGAAGTTACAAGAGCACTGAAAATGTGGCCCATGACTGATCCTCTTACTTATGACCATTGCAGCATCCACATGGTCATGATTAAACTTCAAGCACTTGACTATTTACAATAGTTAAAGCATCCCAGTGTCATGTGATCAACATTGGCAACTTTCCCAGCTGGCTTCCAAGAAGCAGAGTCAATGGGGAAAGCTGGATTTGCTTCATGGCTATGTGTTTCAATTAACAACTGGAGTGATTTACTTAATAACCATTGCAAAAATTTCCTCACATTGGATGCAGCTCACTTAACATTGCCTTGCATTGATCCCAGTTATGGTTGTAAGTCTAGGACTACCTAGACATTGCTTCTTTTGGCAAATGCTTTGAGTCCTTGCAAAAAATTCTAGCAGCTGGAAGAGGCTTCTGGACTTATGTTACTGAGGTGTAGGAACCTCTTCTACCTGCCAAAAGGTTCAAAACAACCCAAAATACCTCCCCCCCCAAAAAAAGGATTACCTCCAAGCTTAGAGACATGTATGGCCTCCAGGACACAAAGAACCTTGCTCAAACAAAGCACAACTGGCCTGCACTACACAGGCTTACTTTCTGATATGATTTTATATTAAGCAGGCAATCATAAAGTGAGGCTGTTTGAAGCCATGAATGTACCATAAAGGCTTTTGCAGTCTTCAAGGACTGTCACTCATCAATGTTCCTGAATGTATTTTCACTCCCTCTCAAAGACTTACCAGTAGAGAGGACATGACGTGGAGTTAGGAAGATTAGAAGTGATAGACTTGCTTGCTTTTCTTGATCCTTTTTCGCTAAGGCTCGGTTCACTTTTATAGCATGGCATAAGGTCTATCTGGGCTGCCTCTTCTATTATGCCTCTAACTGCATGTTACAGAATTGCTAAAGGTATTGAGAATATTGTCAACTATCAATAGCTCTGCAAATGCTCGAAACAAATAAAAAACAAAAAAAAAACAAAACCCTGATAATTCCACCATTCTCGGTCTTCTGGTATAGAATAGATTACTTCAAGTATCCAAAGTCTGTGTAGATAGCTAGGTTGTGAGCAGTGGATAACATCCATAAACTTAGTACTGGCTGAAAATTCTTGGTACGGTTTGAAGGAAGATAAGCTTGGAATTTCTTGGGAAGATATGGAAAGAAGATTTTGAGCCAGGAACACTGATAGTGGTTATTCTTGCAATGAAAGGAATGAAATCAGGACCAAGGGCTCAGTTGGATTTGATTCCAATGAAGTGAAAGGGGGAAATGAGTAGATAATGAGAAAGAAGGATTAGTGGATGTGGAAAAGAATGGTATTCCTAAAACCTGACATCTTTTATTTCCTTGTTGTCTTTTCTATGGTATTTGGGGGATTTAGCCCTAAACCAAGAGATAAAGTCTAGACTCTAAGATACTAGGGTGTATGTATAGAAAACAACTTGCATTGTAAGTGAAGTCACTATCACAGAGTTATCATTGTCACCCTCTGAAAATAGACAGTTAATATGAGACATCTGACTGTTTGGGGGTAATTCCATTGGTTTTTTTTTTGTTTTTTGTTTTTTTGAAATTAGATTTAAAACGGCAAATTCATTTGACATGCTATTCAAATGGCTGTAACCTTTGAATTATTCATTTAAAAAATCATGTAACGGAAGGCCAAGAGACACAGATATACTGAAATTTTAAGTTTCAGAATTCCATTAACTGTCCATGTTAGTTGCAGTTCCAGCAATTAAGGTTCCAGCTTCATACATGAATTCAATTGTTTTAGAAAATGTAACAACTAGAGTTGAATTGTTAAGTTTATTTCAGAGTTCTGAATGCATTGCGCAAAAAACTGGATACTCACAACAAATATCTTGAAGCAATATTAATGGCAGCAAAATATACAATGGTCAAGATTTTTTTCTGGGGATATGTTCCCATTTTTTTTCCAGTCAGGTATTTATAAGGAAAAATGAAACAAAAGTCTTAGTGATACTTCTTAGTATTCCTACAATATAATCCTTTGCTTGTTGATTCGGGAGCAAACCCTGGCGACTTCAAAGGAAATTTGGCCAGGGAAAATGTATATAATACTGAAGTTTTAGGACATTAATTCAGAGTAGCTTTCTCCAAGTTATGTCTTCCATTTGTGGAGAAATCTATAGGGGTTTAACATATTTGATCAGGAAGGCTGGTTTAGACCAACTGAAGATAGGACTATTTTTATACTGTTGGGTTTATACCTTTTTGGATTAAGCATCAGCAAGCAGAGCATCTCTATTCAAGTATATTTGGGGAAATCTTATGGTTTAGAATTGGTTGATTTTTAACCTTCTGATAGCCCTGCTTTATATTCTATCAAACTCTACACATTCATTAAAGATTAAAAAATAGACTTGTACCTTTTTATTTAATCGTTTGTCTAGTAACTGTGATGGAGAGGTTAACAGGAAAGTCAGTGGCTGTTAATTAGAGCTGAGTCATCATTCCTTAGTAGACGGCACAAAATATTCCAGAAAGTTGAGTATTTCCAGTTAAAAGGTCTCAAATGGCAGACTTGGAGATGGTATTTGTCCACTGAGATCTGCCTACATGGGTTGTCTTTTAGAAGCAGTAAGGATTTAGGTGGTCATTGGTATAATTTAGATTTGGGTAACTTCATATAGATAAAAAACAGCTCCAAGCCAATTTGGATTGTGTAGCTCACAAACAACTCCACTGTGTTACCTTGGTTTGCAAAGCTAGTTTTTCCATTGGCTTCTGGGCTTTATGGTTTGGAGCTATTGATTCTTCAAGCATCCATTTTGAACGGCCTTTCCTCAACTCTTGGTTCATGTTGCTTGGTCTACTTAGTGTTGACTGGAAGAAATTTTGCACCTACAACTTTCTGGCGATCTTCCCAACATTTTGAATCTGATTCAAAATCTGATTCAATCTGTCCAGTGTTCACAGCAGATATATTCTCAGGGATCTTGAAAGGGCAATGCATTACAGCCCTGGTGGTATTCTTCCCTTATCAGTGTTTGTACCTAACTTTCTGCCATCTACCTTTCAATTGCAGTGACAGGCAGGCAGTATCATTTCTTTTGAAAGTGTGTGTTCTCCTTGCACTAGCAGAAATACTTTACTCAGCTCTGTGAACTAGATAAGGAAGGAAGGTGTCGAGTTAATGGTTATTGACAATTGAAAGCTCTTGTCAAAAGGGGTTCAGGCCTCATTTACACATTACATGTTTGGCTTACTTTTAAA